CTCTACCTCCGTTTCAAACGTTCAAAAACTCAGAAAAACTACCTTCAGCAAATTTGGCTTCAAAGACTTCCAAGTTAGCGTTTACATGCAGTTCACTGATCCTCTACTGGAAATTCGCAATATTAAAATGATGCATTTGCCTGGAATATCTTACCTGAATAACTTCTTTTAACAGCGCCACAAATGTTACAACCAGCAATATTATTGTTAGACCAAAAGTCGCCGGATCATTGGGCTTCATGCTCGTGCGTTGGAGCTTATTACTGGTAACATTCTTACCTTAAAGCATGTATATACAAAGATAATTTACTGAGTTTTTTTGTGAGTCTTTACGCTGAGTCACGCAATAGTTAAACACCCGTATCACAACGTCATCTTGCATTCAGTTTGCAGTTCAGGGGAAACTTAAATCTTGGAAGTTTGAAATGACTATATAGTACCGGACTTTGAGGAGAGTACGATGTTGACAAGTATAGGCATGTACAATAACTCACCAATTTGGCCAACAACAAATATTACATGCGTCAAAAGACAAATATGAACGATCAAATTCAGAAAGATTGAAAGTAGACAGAATTTGAATCCTCTTTTTATCCATTTAACATTGATATACTTGATGGCCACTGGATGTCCTAAGCATATCTCGCTTTTATTTTCTATCATAGCATCAAGGGCTTCGAATTTTGGATTTGGGCTGATGACCTCATCTATACATAAAAGAAATATTATTTTCAGTATCATTCGGCCATTTTGAAGCATCATTTACAGGTACTCAACTTAGAACAGGGGGAGGCTGGGAGCTAGCTAGAGGAGGCAAGGGCCCTTTTGCCTTTTACCAGCAGAAGCAAGGCATTGGAGCAAAAAGGGCTAAGATGTCCTTCCATCTTCGGAAATTACATTCGATGCATCTTAAGTAAAAGTGCAACCAATTAACGAGTTTCAAGAATAGCAAAATCGTCTGGTGAAAAGACACCGAAATCATCTTGAAAGTCAGGAGACATGTTCAACAACTATGATGTTTTGCAAATATTTTCTATAGGATGAATCGCTACTAGTGGCCTTTCGCAAAAATTTACCCCCTTTGTCCTCGCGTCCCTGGTCATTTTAAATTTCTATAATTAAAGCAAGGTCATTTTGACGATTTTGTGTGAAAAGTCAAAATGATTTCACTCATATAATTTATAATTTTAGATTTTTAACTTTATCACAATCAGTACACAACACGGCAAAAATAATGGCCTCGGGTTAACGAGATTCTTTCCCTGCAGTCTTTATTTCATTTAATAGATTTTCAGAAGTATGAATTGTAAGATTACCTGTTTGTTCTAGGCAAAAAAAATCGTATGTAACTTTACGATCACCAGTTTCGTTGCAACTTGTAGTAGTCATACATTTGTCTAACAAAATCTTCGCCATTTCAGGCATACTTTCAATCATTTTTCCCAAACATCTTTCAGGACCATGGTGTGAATTATTCACTACCTAAAATGTGTAATTGTATCTCTGTATACATGCAGAAATTTATATAGAAGCCAGTAAATGTTAAATATCTCAGCATATTAAAAAATGGCAATATTGCATTTATTTTGTTTAGACCAATGTGATTCTCCTAGTTGACTAGAACTTCTCCTTGTTATTCTCAATTTTGGCTTTAGAGGAGAGAGGTGAATGCAAAAAAGTACAAATCTAGTTTTAAGTTTCGTCAACCCTCATACGCACGTTAGAACGGGATGCTACGAAACAGCTATAGTCTAAAATACTCCGTCGCGCCACCTTAACTGGATAAAGAAATTTCTATACCTCCTTCCAGACTTCAGTGTCAAGAAAAACTTTAACAACCTCTGATGACGTGTTTAAAATTGCCCAATCAAATGCTGAAAGCCGATTATGATCTCGAATATCGTGGTTAGCACCCATTGAAAGAAGGTGTGAGACCACGCTGGGAAAGTTGTTTTGAGCAGCCAATATTAATGAGGACTGATGGAGGTTATCTGTGACATCAATAAAATCCGGATTCTCACGTAAAAGCAGTTCAACGTTACTTTTCAAACCTTGACTTGCAGCCAAATGAAGTGGTAGTTTGTTATTTATCTCTCTATATATAAAAAACAAAATCGTATCTCAATTTATGCGTAGCATCTATATATAGCCAGGTATTGAGATTTACGATATACAGCGCTACTAACGTTAGGGTTGTATCAGCTCCATTCAAAATTAAAAGTTCCAAAATGCTGGATTGTAACACAGCAGCACAATGCACTGGATTTTGTAACATATCGTCCACGCAGTTCACCAAGTTTGGATCTTTACGAAGAACAAACTTTACAGTGATCGCTGATCTACTTTTCACTGCCAAATGGAGGACAGACTTCCCCCCCGCTGTGGTTTTCAGTTTCAATAATGAATTATCATATTCATAAAGCGCTTCTAATGACTGTAAAATGCACGTAAATTTAGTAAACACCAAGTTAGATTGTTAAATGAAGGGTCGCGGAAGGGGGGGGGGTGCATGATGATTGGCAACAGACCGAGTATTTCAATTTTCCAGTTTGCCGCACTGAGATAGTATAGACACGGTGGATATTGAAATATGACATGCAAATGCCAACACTAATATATGAATATCAACCGAGGTTGTATGTATATTGGGTCCCGCAATTTACACTATAACGGATTCACATGATCACGATATCAAATATAGCAATGTCAGAGGACGTTTTACCACCAAAAGTGTGCCGATGGCATGATTGGTTTAACCTGTAAAGTCAAATGAAACAATTCTGGAGGCAGGAGATACCGTAAAATAACTTAAACTGATGTCGTGACCAGTTGAATCCGGTAAAGCGAAAACGGGGTCTTAGTCCGTCACAGATGCGACATGCTAGAATGCTAGGTCAATGGTGTAGAGTCGTGGCATTAATGACTATAAATCGTATAATCTCTACGGAATTAGCGGACTTGTATATTGCGAATTACAGCTACGCATTTGTTCTCTGCAGTTAAAAGAACTTAACATCTGTTTTTTACACCCTAATTATAAATTTACACCCTAATTATATACAGCAGGTAGAATTTAGATACTCCAATATTTAAAACAATTATCTATCTACCTGAACATTTCCAATTATAGCCGCACGATGGATAGGAGTTTCTCCGTTTTTATCTGCTTGGCGAAGAGCCTCATCTACAGAGGATTTCTAAAATGAAAACACATTTAAAGCATTGGGATGTTTTAACAGCAAAGAGGTATACCTGCTATATATGCATGGCGGTAAAATTTAGTTATTGAATGTCCATATTGCTCCCTTTTTATTGAGAATATAGTTGAATATAGTTATTTCTCAACTTTTCAAAGCATTTTTGTTATCATGAAAGACGTCTTTCTGCGGTCTTTATAGGTTAGACTAGGACAACCTTTCACGGCTTACAAGCATAGTATCTGCAATCCCATTTTCACTGGAAGTTAAACCGCGGAACAATAAATACATATAAAATATTTATTATATGCATAATACATATCTTTCCATGTAATATTGACCGTAACGTACATTTGCAACCCTTTCCAGTAACTTTTTCAAAGTATTTGGCCTTGACACAGCATAATGAAATGCATTTCGTCCATAACTGTCAATTTCTTTCACATCGAGATCTTCTAAATTTGTTTCGTTAAAGAACGCTGAGCTAGCAGACACTCCTCGTCGAACATTACTGCATGGAAGAAAGTGAAACATAATATCAGTAGTTAGTTTGTACATGAAACCGTCATAGTTCGGTATTGTATATAGTTTCCATTATTTTAGGCAAATTAAAATATTTCACAAAAAATGGGACTAATTTCGTAAGGAAACCAACATAGAATGCCACTGAGATTGCATGACCGTGGTTTACTACATTCTGTTTAGCAAAAAGGCTGCACACAATCTCTTAATGCAGGCAGGTGAGTATAGTATCTAAAACACAGGTGTTCGGTACAAATAACAAGCTCTTATATAGCTAGGGGAAGGTTAAATATGCAGAATTGAAAGAATGAAAAGTTCGGTCATACGAATCGGTGATGACAAAAATTGTGCAGTCTAAAATTAACAACTTGGATTCAGAAAGTTAAGACAACTTTACATCCGAACTATTTCACTTTGGTAAAAACTAAAAATGACATGATCACAACAGCACAAAAGAAATAGGCATATATACTAGTTATTCATTCGTCGTTAGGTCAAAAAAACTTGATACTGACCAGCTTAAGTTTCATAGACAGGCGAAAACGCTGAAAAGGGTAGTATTACGTACTTGCAAGCCATAGCTCATAATTTCAGTTATATCTTAACTTATACCTCATCAGTTGTTTCAGATTCAGATAACACACGGCACGAGCAGACCGAACTGATCTTTCAATGTCACTGCGCGTCTGTTGTTCGCTTTCCATTTTCTCAGCCACACGTGTTTCATCCATTGATCAATAAAAGCCTCTCAAACCCTTTATACATGCGGGAAAATTGAAACGCAAACGTTATAGTACAACGGCTGAGAACACATTTGGTGCACAAAAAGTGGGCGGGCAGTATTAGGAGGTAGTTTCATAAATAATAAATGCAATATATCATGTTAGATAGGACGAACATAATTGGGGGTGCATGCATATTAATATAGGGGGTGAATCAAAGGGTAACATAACCTCGGCGTACATTAATTATTACTTAATCAATTAGCGCAATTTTTTAATTATTACCTAGTAATAGATTAGGCTTTTCGCTGTTGAATGACAATTATTTCGTATCAAATGGAGAAAAAGGGGAAAATGGAGAAAAAAGGGCAAATACAAGTTAGCTAGATTAGAAAGCATGATAAAAACACTGCATGCAATAATACGCTAGTCACATCCATAAACGTGAAAAAAGTGAACAATTCTCCTGAATATTAAATACCGATCATTGCGTAGCCCCCTTTTTGTCCTTCAAAAAGTTTCAAAGTTTCAAGTTCTAATATTAACTTTAATACTTCGTTTCCTTAGGATTTATGTCGTATGGAACTCGTCACAAGCTATGTTGATACAAATTATCGCATGTAGGTTACGATATATAAATATATATAGCCGATTTTTAATAATGGCAAGAGTCAAGTGCACATGCACTGATGATTTATCGGTGTATGCGTGCATGTATAAACCCAGTAAAGATACTTTAATTTATGAATGCATGTACTTCAAATGATTACAAGAAAGTTTCAAAAGTTCTTTGTATCAAAATTTACGATATGTTTTTCATTTACTTTAGTTTATTTAATATCCTGCCTACTTTCTCTTCCAGGTCTTCTTCAAGATGATCTTGAATTTCTCTTAGTTCATGTCGCAAACTTGAACGAAAGCTTTCCAATTTGCTTTCCAATTTATCTTCCAAATCCCTCTCCAAATCATCCTCCTGGAGTTCATTTTCTGCTCTTTCACAATCCACGCCATCAATATCGTCACCAAAGAACACTTTATCGGAAATTTTTTGAAATACACTCTTTTTCTGCTTCGGAAAATCGATCAGGCCTTCGTCTTCTATAGTTTTCAAGTAAGGAACAGCGTTGAGATTTCTTTCGAGATCGATCACAAATCTAGCCTGAAAGAAGATGCATGTATGGTAGATAAGACGAACTAAAGTGCGAACGTTACGAAGAGGTGCTTTGGTTAGTATCCCCCATATGGCAAACGCAATAAAAACAACAGATAATAAACGTTGTCTCATTATCTAGTGGCCTCAGCCTCAGGAAATGTTCTTGTGTGGAGGAAGATGGCAGTAACTCAACCTGAGGTTGGTCAGCTATTAATGTTTTCGTATACTTTTATTGACAATGTATATATTTATATCAGAGTTCCGTCTAGCCAATCAGAACACTTTAACTGGAATACTAAAATGTCGTCGAGTGCCTCTATGATTTGACTTCTAACAATCATTAATCCAGGTTTGGAAGATATTCAACTTCTAGACAAAAAGTCAGTATATTCATCTTCGACGTTTTGAATATATATATACATACTGTTTTTTTCACCTACCCTTCGCAAAAACCTGTCGAAATTTGCAGATTTCATGACTTCGTTCGTGTCACCAACGGCTAAACCAACCAAAGCGTTGTTTACTACAATGGACATTGTCAACATGAACAAAACAAGGAATACCATTTTTAACTCGTATGTTTGTGGATACCACCCATTCGCGACAAATAGATTCTCATAATCAATGCCGTCTAACATGGCAACAAATGTTGAAACAAAGGAGATGTAAATATTTCTGAAGCTGTCGTGTTCTGCGAGGAGCACATAAAACGTGCTGGCAAAGCTCAACAAGTATATAACGACGACAATAAATATCTAAATAGAAAAAAAGAGAAATATATTAATTCATGCGATAACATTACTGAGTATTTGACTGAATGATTATGATGAAAATCACATGGAAACTATAATTTTTTTCCAAAGTTCTACATCATCCCCTATCTACATCATACGAACGAATTTTCTTAGTAGAATAGCTTCATTTTCGTCAGGATTTTGATCCAGGAACAGTGACACCGGCAAAGCCCAAAGTGATTAAAAAATTTGAAATCAAAAAAATTTCTAGCGGCGCCACAGTGGTGATGACCACTTACGAGGAGAAATTGCACTTCTCGTTGTACGGAGAAGTATATCCCTTTATTTTATTCGACTACAGAGATTACCGGCATCTTCCATCAGAAGCGCGACAAAGATTCGTGGGCTTGGGCCCAGTTGAATTAAAGCAAAAAAATACAAACCTTTAACAGCGTCCAGAAAACATTTTCAACGACTATGATATATATACCAAGGAAGGGAACAAGTTTCAGAAACTGTAATAAATTTAGCCATGACAACATAACAGTGATTGCACCATATTGGATTTGGTTTACCGTTATTGCTTGGTTAACAGGTAGTAAATAGAGCATAATGCTGATGTACAATGCAATTCTGTAGTAATGACGTATGGAGGTAAAAAAGTAGAAACGTTCGACAATTATCTGAAAAAGGTAACAAAACATTAGTAGATTAAGCATCTTACGAAATTAAGATTAGCTGAAGCATGCATTAAATAGCCCAATAAACAACGCAAGGAATTGTCGAGTTTCAGCATCATTTGCTTATTTTTTCTGTACATGCAGTATTATATTGTTTGTGTGTATTATAGTTCAATTAGTTTGGTGATACGACCTATTACAAGATCATTACAAAATACAAATCCTCATCCAACCTAGGGGCGAATGTAAAAGTTAGATTTTCTTACTTCCAAAATATCTTTTAACATTTCCAAATGTGCAACAGTCAGAATTATTACTCTCAGCGCCATCATTTCACTAGCATCTGGTCTTCTACCCTCACGCTCGTGAATATTCATCGTTCTGTTTGTACCGTTAACTCCCAAATCTGAAACCGATGTTTACAGCAACCACTTTAAATGTGAATTGTTTGAAAATGCACGGATCAAAATCTACATGCAACCAGTGTCGTAACCAGAATGAATGTATGTAGTGTCTAGGTTTACATTGCAAGTGATCAATTATTTGTTTGTAATTATGTACTGAAACATTAAAACAAACGTGGAAAAATGCAAATATGGATAGATTTTCAAACTTTACTACGTTTATTATTCTTCAAATGTATAATAAAACAATTATTGAGTTCGGGTTTTGTGATATGCGGAATTATCAAGGTCGAGGTACAGTAAGCGTTACAAGCCGAGCCGAAGGCGAAGCCATATTATCACAAAAACCTCATCCAATATTCAATAATTGTTTATCATATGGGTATTAAACAATTTTCGCCATGCTTTTACTTTAACTTACGCCTTCTCTCAATGCGACGTGTTACCACACCAATAACTCTTGTTGTATACAACATAAGACATATATGAAGCACCAAAGCCAACAATATTATAGCAAGAGTCCAATGGAAACCACGTCTCCTCCATTTTATGTTCACGTACTTTGTAGCTACTGGATGACATACACAGCCCTCTACTTCATTATATACCATCATCTCCAAAGCTGAAAACCGAGGACACTTTCCATCCTCAACTTCATAATAAGAAAAAATATAAATACACTTACTACAACATGAAATTAAAAAAATTACTTGGTCTTATGCTTTTCGGAGATTTATAGGTATATATATTTAATGGATTGATTTATATTAGAGACAGATCATCCTTCTAGACGAACTTGCATGGGCAAGCAAAAGATAGTTTTCTAGTTCGTCTGTATGTAAGCACGGGCAAACAGACGGATCATCAGTCAACACAAGTTATCTGCTTATAGTTTGTCGATTCAGACGAATTTGAATGGGTACTGAGTTCTGTCTACTGGGTACTGGGTACCACATCAGTCTGTTGGTATGAATATGTGGGGACGAACTTCGAAAAGTTCATCATAAAACGGCTCTTGTGCACTCTTTTTAGTTTTTACCACAAAAATAATTTTCTAATCCCCGTGCACTTTCGAAACGCGCGATTCTGTTTCGTCTGAAATACTCGTCTTCATAATTCTTCCAGATAGTTTGTCGTATGTAATTATACTCAGACGAATGATCTGTCAGAACTCAGAAGTATCATTCGGCCAGACGGATAATCCGTCTTTAGTATATAAATCGGGCCGATCTCACAGACTCGTAAAATCTTTTTACATATATTCAATATATACTAACCTCTTGTTTCAAGGCAAAAGAAGTCATACATGACTTGATAATTGTCAGGATGTCCTTTTGATCCTGTAGCAGTTACACAATTATCTAATAACTTCGCTGCAATTTCAGGCATTTTTGCAACCAACACGGTCAAACATTCCTCTGGGCCATAGTTTGACTCACTCACCACCTGTCATTTCAAAAAAATATATAAATTAATAACAGAAATTTCCTACACAAATTTCCATAGAATTTATTTTTCTTCCTGCAACTATCACTCATTACCTCTTTCCAGCCATTCCAGTCAAGAAATGAGCCAACGACATCTGGTAATGTGCGCCGGACAGCAATGTCAAATGCTGTCAAACCGTTTTTATCTTTCTTTTTATAATCTGCTTCTTTTATTAATAAATATGACACGATAATAGGAAAATCATTCTTAACTGCCAACATTAATGGTGTTTCGGCCATTTTATTAGTTGCATCAACCAAAGCTGGGTCCTCTTGTAACAAATGTTCGATATTATCTCGAAGACCTTTACTAGCAGCGATATGGATTGGAAGCTGACCATTGGCATCCCTAAAAATACGAAGATACATGTAGTATATATTTCAAATAAAATCCTTTCTGTTTTACTAGTAATGGTCATTTGCATGATTACGTAAGTGAACTGTGTTCATGCATTAATTAAGTGGTCATGCGAACTCGAGTAATGTTACGCGGTAATCACCTAATCGCGGTAATCACCTTCAAAATGGCGACAGCACGTTTTTTCAATGGGCTGTCCCCTCCATAGTTCAATCCAATAATATATAAGTTCAGTGACTGTGATGAAATATCGACAACCGATGCATAATAGGCAGGGATGATGAGACATTAGTTCGCCTTCCTATTATACTATATATCCGCACGCTGAACTCGAAGTGATTAGAAACAAGGCAGGTTAATTAAGTGACGAACGAAGAAATAAGTACGAATTTTAGAGCATTAAATGCAGTAGTAATGGTAAAGGAGTGACTATAGGACGTCCAAAATTTATTGAAACCTCGATATCATTAAGCCTCGATATCGCATATATAAGAATATCTTTGAGACAAATCGATGGGTTATAATCCAATACAAGAATGATATGCATGCATCATAACTGCATCATTACCATCATATCACTTCTTAAATTACACTTCTAAAAACCTCTAATCCCGCACCGCGTAGAATATGCTTGAATAAATGACATAGAGGTTGTTACCTTGACGTGGTATTGGCTCCTTTGTAAATAAAAAATTCCAAAATTCTCGATTGATTCAGACCAGCAGCATAATGTACAGGCGTTTGTAACGCACTGTCCACACTGTTCATCAAACCAGGAGCTTTACATTCAACAAACTTCACAGCGGCAACTGATCTACTCCTGACAGCTGAATGCAGAACTGATCTCTTTTTAACTGCGGTTTTCAGCTGTATTAACGAGTCATCATAACCATGGAGGATTTGTAATGACTGAAATTGATCCAAATAAAATTGTGGTAAATAGAGGCAGTTACTGCTTTCCAGTAGTAGATATAAACGAACTATATTGAAGTGCTTCGTCATTCTAGTAAAACTTACTTCAGTATTTGCAATTACAGCTGCGCGATGAATTGGAGTATCCCCGTTTTTGTCTGCTTGGCGGAGAGCCTCTGCCACCGAGGTATTCTGGAAGAAAAGATAAAACATGCATGAATAAGAATCTTTGGTACAAGACACACCGTCTACAGTATCACCGTCCGTAGCTTTACGGCTTTACACAGGAAAATTTCCTTTGGCTATACTGGCCAAAATTATATATTGTAGCTATAATTGTATATTACACATGGTAAATATTATATGATTCATCTTTTAGGACAAACAGTGTTCTCCTTGCCAAAACAATCTGGCCCAATTGATAATTTCAAACCTCTTTAAATTCTTTCAATATTTCTCGTAAAGTATCTGGTTTTGAGACTGCATAATGGAAGATATTTTTTTTGAAATTGTCGACCTCCGTGGCAACTAATTCATTCAAATTAGCCCGTTCCTGGAAAAACAATGACGTTGAAGACGACCCGCCGCGAACAGCTCTGCAAAAAAATAACCCAAGATCACAAAGGCGTACGGTCCATAAAATTTTCGGGGGAGGGTACAGAGAATAACAATGGCTCACATAATATTCGAGGAAGGTCATTATGCGGAAACATTCCCAAAGGAAGATTGAAGACTTTTTGCAACTCTGATATATCAAAGTCGCAAAAGTCCGTCAATCGTTCTGAAACGTTATCAACTACCTTAACGACAATTACCTTATAAGTGGGCTTATGGGCTGTTTTGATCCCACAGAACTGCTTCTCTCTTTTTTTCCAGACTCAGAAATGCTTCTCTCTTTTTTTCCAGGTCCTTTTTCAAATGCCTCATCTTTCTCTGTCATGTCTATCTCTTCCTCTTCCGCTATTTCGTACAATGGTTTCTGTTCTTGTTCAGACATCTTATCAGAAAGGATTATTTCTCCGGTATAGTCAACTGTCACTTGATAACTAAAATACAGCGCGTATGCGTGGTTGTTGGAGAAGTAAAAGATGAAAGATCATCAATGCGTGTCAATTGAGTCAACATGACCCCTGATAAATAAACCGAGTTAAACAAATACAAATACGATACTGCTTCTTAACGGCAAGCGAAGATGACGTGTCAGTGCATCCGGTATTGTGACAACGAAGACTCGCTATAAAGTTAGGCCTAGGTTAGACGTCGCATTTTTGTCGCGTCGAATGCAATTCAAACAATAAGTAACAAGATGATAATCTATTGTATTAATTCCATTCAAAGCGATCAAAATGCGGGAAAATGGTAATTTAAAGATGCGGGATTTGTCGCGGGCTCTGCACGGGGAAAAATTTACGTATTCGGACAAAATTTTCGTAGTAGCGCCGTAGAAATTTTTCAAATCTGTTCGGTTCCTAGAAAATATTTCCGGCGTTTATTAAATGCAGCTGTAAGGCTCGTTTCCAGTCAGGAAATCCTGACTATCCTCTAGACCGTATCGGACAGAAAAGTCTCTTTTATCAATGTGTTGTCAAACTAATCACCAAAACTAATTGTCTTAAGCACAAAAAATAACATACTTTCTGATCTGGTCCGGGGGATAATTTTCCTGACTGAAAACCATGCAGCCCTTCTCAGTTCTCACCGCTGTTAGAACGCATGCGCAATGCTTGGAATTACGTACCATATGTCATATGGTATACAGCGAGCAACTGCACATTTTACACTTATTTCCTTCATTAATAGTTTATAATGCTCAATAATTTCTTATACATTATAGTCATGCATTTGTGTTCAGTATATTACGGTACATTGAAGCACGAGGAAACTTGTAGGGCCAATTCAGATGCACTTTACAAGTTTACTTTCCCACGAGCACTCTTTGCAAAAACATTAACTACCATAATTCCGCCATTACTCGATTAATTAAACCTAGTATATTCCTGATGTAATTTAGACGAAGCAAAATCATCCAGACAAAATTATCGCTGTGTGTTTACGCTTAACCAACTTTAGGATTCTGTCCAATATAATCAGAAAGGGTCCTCAATATTAAATACGACATGCAAATGTCATAACACAAGAATAATGCCTGTTGATGATCCCTTTCTGTGGAGCTGACTTACGAAGAATATAGGGTATAATGAAGGCCGGTCTGAAGCCCGGTTAAATATTAAATTTGAAGATACAGAGAAGGAAGAAGCAGGCTATATTATAATATAAATATATTTATGCAAAAGTGGATTTAAAAAAACCGAACATGTATACAGTGCCAAATTCACATAGACTGTTTTGAAATATAGAGTTTACCGTTTTTACTCGTTGAACTTCCTCTGTTTCCCTGACGTCTGTCTACCTTTGACTTTGTATCTTGTATCGCTGGGTCTGTGACCGATATGCCGCTCTTAAACAGCGGGATTTACACACCAACTGCCTTCAAACAGTTGTAGTGACATGTACTGACAAACTCTTAGCCTTAGGGCTTAGGTTAGTTAGGTAAACATCACTAATCTTTGAGCAAATTTGAATTTTAAATTTGATACATGCATGACCTCAAGAGATAAGAGTCAGATTACTCCTTTGACGTTTATGGCCCGATTTCAGTAGAGACGGACCATCCGTCAAGACGAACTTGGTCAAGATCATCAGTCAAGACGTTTATCTGCATAGTTCGTCTACGTAGACAATGGGTAGTTCGTCTTGACGTCTTGACGTCTGTTAGTTTCAGTACGGGGTGGCAATTTCATGATAAAACGGCTCTTGTGCACTCTGACAGTCTGACTCTCTGAGCTACGCCATGGTCTGACATGTTCGTCTATACGTAGTTCGTCTAGACTCTAGATGGTTTATCGTGTGTTTATACTCAGTCAAATGATCTGTCAGAAGACGTTTGTCCAGATAACATCCACAGGAAAAAATTGCCCATGCATAAAATAAGAGAATGAAGTATGCTCTTCTCCAGTTGTATAGGTGGTTACTATCATATCGCGCTGTTTCATGAGTATTCGGCTATGTGCACACGAGCGTTGTTTTCAAGCGTTTTTAAAATCTTTTTGTCTAGTTTAACGCTTCATCTTCAACTTCTACGATGTTTAAAACCGTTTTGTCATGAAAACAAGAATGAAAACGCTCGAAAACGTTACCGTGTGCTGCACATGGTCTTAGTTTCGTTTCGTTTCACTGCCATGAAAGTGGTTAATCGGTCATGCAATTACACAGCAGATTCATTACAGTGATTATCTCTGATTCTGATCATATATCATGCATAAACATATGCATTGGCCATTGCATCTGAAATATATTTTATTTTATATTATATTTGAAATAGATTTATTTCAAAATGCTTGAAATATCAGGAATTACCTACTTTTTAAAATAGATATTTAAAAATAAAATCGTCCTCATATGAGCCATATCTGGTTCATCCGAGTCGAAATAATTTTAGAGTATGTTTACATGAATATGTGAACCATTCCCTCCAAACTATAGTTTCATTCATTTCAGCTATCTCCCCCCCCTTCCCATTTACTAATTATTGATACATCCAAATGAACCGAACGAACTTAAGGCTTTGGTTATACCATACAATAGATAATAAATCAAACAATAGATAATAAGATGTTGATGAAGCTTAATGGAGGTTTATCATCTCATTATCTATTGTTTGAATTGCATTCGACGCCACCAAAATGCGACGTATTACCTAGGCCTAACAAACAAGACTGGACGAATTTACACATGCAGTTAATAATTAATTGCCTCGCTAAAAACCTTTTTACAACTCAGAAAATAGTTTTGAAAATATATTAGTTATATATATAGATTCAGCTATACACGAGACTTTGGTATCAATTCCTCGGTTTCTTTCTTACGTCGACATCCGAATTAAAATAATATTTGTATTCCAAATAAAAGTATAACTTGCAGGTACACTTATTAATCCATTGTTGTCCTACTAAAAACCTTCAATTTCCATAACATATCTTACCAAAGGAGGCGGCAGATACAACTTATGGAAATCGTCCATTCTTTTGAACATGATTTTACGAATTTTAAGTTTGCACAGCAAAGCCAGGCAACGAGGTATTTCTAAAAAAATGATGTAATGATAAGTTACTTCACTGAAAATGAACAACAAAACGAGCCTTTTCATCAAATTTTTGAAAGGCCGTACGTGTTACACGGTGCGATTTTTTGCAGTGAGATGCAGGCGTTTTCTCATGCGCATATTACAAAAACCCGAAAGTAGAATTGCAGTAGAAGTTGCAAGAAAAATTGCATCGTGTGTTTACAACACGGTTTTAAAAGTGATATACCTAAACTTTCTTTCATGAGATCAATACCATCAAGAAAGTAGTTAGAATTGGCAGCGTCAATACAAGTGTCATCATCCTTTCCTAATATCATGCAGTTTGCGCCGTAACGCAGCAAAATGTCCAGCAATTGTAGTTTGATTTCTTTGGCATACTCAGCGCTTGCAACGTAGTGTAGGGACGTGTTCATTACTACATCTTGGGCGTGAATATTAGCACCAGCGTCCAGCAGTAAAGCGGCCACTTTTGGTTTACCTATAAGATGAAATAGGTCGCGATAAATCATGGTCAAATAATGGGGTCAGTTCTATTTAGAAGATATTCATATCGGATGATATCAGTGATGTAAATCGTTAATTTTAATAATAATTGGATGGTTGGATCGAGCAGACCTTGACATTTATAGGACAAAAACATGAAATAAGATCGTTGTTCTTATATAGAAAACAAACAAGTGGTTTGAATGCCACGCGAAATGTGCTCTTTTTAAAGAAAACATACATGTCCTTCCCTAAGTCTTAATCTAACTATGCTTTTTATCGGGCCATTTAAAATCAGTGTGTATTATTCATTATATCCGTGAACTATATAGCCAGGAACTACTTGTGTGACTACTGTATGAGATTTTGCGATTCTTGTATACGCATTACTGAATACTGATATCACTGCAGAGGACAACCCATATCTCGAAAACGTTCTCAAAAGTATAATGTGTGCATTTTGCAAACCTTGAATACAAGCCTCGTGTAACGGTGTCCTTTTTTGATTGCTAATTGCATTCGGCCTGGCGCCATTCTTTAGTAATTCTATTAATATTTCATCATATCCTCTGTAAGCTGCCTCGTGTAAGGGCGTGTGTCCTCCAGCATTAATTGTGTTCACACTAGCTCCTGACGCTATCAAAAGTTTCACTGTGTCCAGCTTGCCTTGACGACACGCAACATGTAATGGTGACCACGGACGTCTTGGCCCAGGAACTGCAGGAAATTTTAAAGAAATTATTAGGTTACAGATTTACGGTCAACAATAAGCTTGTGTGAGGGAGTACCAATATGGGGAGGTGGGAGTACCAATATGGGGAGGTGGGAGGTACCAATATGGGGAGGTGGGAGGTACCAATATGGGGAGGAGGTTGTTCCAATATGGGAAGGAGCAGTACCAATATGGGGCAGTGAAATGATATGGGGAGAAGGGAGTACCAATATGGGGAGGAGGAAGTACCAATATGGGGAAGAGGGAATACCAATATGGGGAAGAGGGAATACCAATATGGGGAGGAGGGAGTACAAATATGGGGAAGAGGGAATACCAATATGGGGAGAAGGATATTAACCATCCCCTTTTAGATGCATCCCTTGACATTCATATTCTCAAAGATTTAGGATGTGGCTATAGAAAATTTCAATCTGCTAGAATGATGTCAATTTTCAGGTACATACATTTTGAGGGATTCTTTACATCACAACCAGCATCGACCAGAATTTTAATGATTTCATTATGTCCAGCTTTTGCAGCTTCATGCAATGGTTGCCAGTTTCCTTCACATACAACTTCAGCTTTTGCATTTATTAGTTCTTTGACACATTCAATATGATTGAATATTGTTGCCCAATGTAAACCTCCTCTGCCATACTTATCACGTTTATTTAATTCTGCACCATGTTTGATAAGAAGTTTTAACGCTTCCAAGTTGCCCGCAGCTGAAGCAATATGAAGAGCATTCTTTCCCTTGCTGTCTGAAAGGAAATATTGAAGAATCAAGTATATAATCCAGGTTTTGAACCCTGTTTTCCTCCCTTGCCTCCTGAGATGAATACACAAAAGAGGCTATCATTATGTGCAGCACCTCAAACAACTTAGCTCAGGACAGGTATGATCAGGGTGAAGATACTATGACTACAAAATCCCTGTAATTATTTTAAATAAAAGCTTTTACATTTTTTACTCTTTAACTACCTGGAAATGGACTATCTATATTCTTCCAGGGAACTATATTCAAGGATTAGTTTAATAACATACCTATACAGTTTGCATCAGCATTATTTTCAAGTAATACTTTCATGCAACTTGTATGTCCATTTCTAGATGCAATATGTAGCAGAGTTTCATTTAATCTACCATTCTTGAAATTTATTTCATTTCCAACCTCAGGCATCAATGTTTCAAGCTGCAGCGAAGTATAGCAAATGAGGTATTGTAATGAAATGATTTATACATATATAAACTGCTAAATAATATATATAAAAAATTTTAAACAGCTTGTTGTATATATAGTTTATTAATATCTCTTTTAATAACAGATGGTTGATTTTCCATGTAACACTATGATACTTTCACCTGTCATTTCAAAGAGTATTAGAAGACAGTCAAGACACTCAGGACAGACCTTGCACATGCAGATAAGTGGCCTATTGTTTATATTTTCGCTAACATAACCATTTTTAAATGAATCTTTTTAAAAAAGTGACCGTAAACTGTAATGATAATACTTGACAACTTGACAGCAAAACAATTTCCATGCATTAAAATTACGAAGTAGAAATAAAATGCGTTTACTAAAGTTGAAAGTGAAATGCAACAATATTCATTTACTGGCAAACAACATTGTACTATTACGTCATTTATATAATTTTAATTCAACAAACACCTTATCAGCGAGGCCAGAACGACAGCTATGGAGCAATTCTTCAACAATTTTTGGATCAATATTCACTGCAGGTATTACTGGAGGCAGTGGAGGAGCAAAAGGTATTTGATTTAGGTTATGTTGCGCCATAGAGACGTAAAATCATTGAATAGTTAAGGTAAAGACGCACTGTGAATAGCAGAAGACGACATTCAAATTACGAAGGAATTTCCTTTCAAAACTTTCTTCGCATACGTAGTTCAATTACGCACTTCTGTTCATGCCTATTTATAATAAAAGCTACATCATCCTGCCCACATTGTTTACGTTTTTTCTTTCCGGTGTTCAGCCCATTTATGGTAAGCTTTTGCCAATCTACCTGCAAATACTGCTTTCACTTGAAAAGAAAAAGCCTTTTTGGTCTTTCTACATTTTACTATGCTAGACGTTTAAAGTTCAACATCGTAACTGTTTTCCGACGGGGGATGTGAACCTCTCGCGTCGAGTTCCGATAGTATGGTGCAGACTCGTGAGAAAAAGGCAGAGTAACGAGGTTCGGGATAACAGGCGAATATCAGCAGGGTGCATATTCATATTCATCCATATGATCTCGTACTGGCGATCTGCTAAGATCAGACGGTTTTCTTTTGCAGAATTTGAAGGGAACTGGGAACTGTTAGCGTTGTAAATAGCGGCGGCAAATTGGGGGATTGTGAAAAGCACTTTGTCACAGATGAGGCCCTTGCTACGAGTTTTGAGGGGACAAAAAATCTGGTAGTACTAAAATTAATTTTCACACGTCAAATGTTACTTACTACTTTTAATACAAGCACAAAACAACAGCTTATTATTGCCAAACATGGAAAACACAAGGAATTTATATTATTTAATCACAAGTTCATGAGGAATTTTCTAAACGTATATTCTCCTTTTATTTAACAAATTGGCTCAAAACTGCATGATTTCCAGATAAATTCAGGCCTGTTTTACATACAGTGCTTATCAGCACAAAGACTGTCCAAACTAGCACCACGTATAATCTATACTGAGAAGTTGTTCTTCAAAAACAAACTTTGAATTCTCAGCGCTCATAGGATGATGGATTGTTGCTTATCCCGACGTGTATATTTGGGAAACTTGGTTTCACAACAATACCTAGGAAAATATAGTCACAGAGGACTCACAACTGCATGAAAGCCTTCTTCCTGCAAAGGAAACTTGGCAACTTTTTAAGAGCCTATTAAAACGTAACAACCCATCACCTCTTTTGTTCATAGTTCAAGGTCAATATGATAGCTCTACTATACTGTACTATTATTATTAGCGAGCTTAAGATCACGAGACGGAGACAACGTGCGGGTTTGAGAACTTCACTGTTGAGAACCCATGCAGGCTTAGAAACTACCGCTGTTTTTCTCGTTCAAAAACGTCAAGATCATCATCGTAATCGTCTATATCACCAACGTCCGTAGACCAACCTTCACCACTCCTAAAAAAGATAGTGTAGTCGGTGCATTTCAGTCTCAGTGCCGAGGTCATCCTCAAATTATGATTATGTATCGAGGCCAACGTGTGGTGAGCAAACTCTACGAAATTTTACAAACGTTTGGCGAAAGTGGACATCCTGCACTGATGAGAAAACCGAATAGCAATGATCTCGGGATTGTCCAAGTCTTGAAACAATTATCTCGCGCATATATGAAGGGCGATCAGAAGACTATTCCAATCAAAATATATGATCAGAAGACTAAAATGGACCCACATTTTTTTTGGAAGTTGTCTTATTTCTATTCCATGTCGATTGTCGTACTTCCATTTTACTTCTGTTTGCATTATTTGGTCCATGTAATGTATATATAAACTTGAGCTAACAAAAGATCTTTTTACCCGAATGAGATGAGCACCAGTTTACATGCCGAGAGGTAAAAAGTAAAAGGTGAAATAATTTATATTTGTCATACATGCAGTAAGTTCATAACCAACAAATGGCTTGCCTCATATAGCTTTTTGTGAAATAAAAAGACGATATATAGAAGATGGGTACTGTTCATCTGAAATCCTTTCAGTCTACTGATTATAACAACTGTCGTGTTAGACGGGAAGGGTATTGCGGTACATGTCGAAATGGGTTGGCCGTGAATTGCTGTAGTGAAACTATATGAAACTCACGTATATGGGGAACATTTTCCATATTGTTCGAGATAAATTCGTCTGTAGAGGTCTTCGTTTACGTCAGTGAAATTTGCAGGCATTCCTTCTTGATTGCTATCTTGGCTATTAATATCTAAGGCGTAATCATTCCACTCCTCTGAAATATGAATTATTATAAAAATCAGTACAGCGGAAGTTGGCGTCAAAAAATATAGTAATTATTGCCATAGCACATATACAATAGACCTTTCTTATAATGACGTCAAACGCGGAAAGTCTGCTGTTACACGAAATCTGATTGGCTCCACAAAACTAACGGGCCAATCAAACTTCTAAAGGTACTAGTAGCCCCCATTTTGATACTCCAGATTCAGCGCTCTAATTAGGTAAATGCGTCACTGATCTATAGTCAAGTACAATTCACTGAACTCAATGGGCCACCTTCTCGTTACTTCCAATTCGGGAGTTCATTCATATAAATGGCCGAGTTTATTCATATAAATAACATATCTGCTGAGAGGTGAGTAAAGTCTCAAATGAGAGCATTACCTTCAGCAAAAACAGGTAAATCAGATGCTTGCTCTTCCAACATACCATCTATACTCTAAATGTTAACATACAGAATTAATTAGTTGATTGTCGTTGCACCATGCTATAATAGCTTTATGTTTCTTGTTTCACGATTACTTTCAGTTTATTCGACTGTGTGTCTGACTGAGTCTGTGGCAGATGAGACTATCCTCTTTCATTACATTCATCTAAACCTCGAGTGCACACTGAATCGGAAGCGTTTTTTCCTCAAATGTTTGAGTCAATGGGGTTTTCGCTGCGATCGAAATGCATTTGAATTTTGTATTCTACTTACTGGAATATACATGGAATATCCTTGCGCGCCATGAGTATTCGGATAGGAATGCGTAACTTCATGCTGACCCCAGCTTGTTCTTCTCAGCTCACACACGCGGTTGAACAAGATTTTTGCAGTCCTAAAAAATGTCAGCAATATCTAAGAAAACTAATGACTACAAAGGGAAATTCGCTAAGATTCTGTAAAATATCAAAACGGCCAATATTTGGAGCTTTTGAAACAGAATACAAAGAATACAAATTTGCTAGGAAATTAGGACAACCTTGATGCGCGGCATACGAGTTTAGATGCAGTCGTGTAGACATGATCAATTTGATCTACTGCTCGACGTTGTTTCAGAAAAACCTTCTTTCATTTAAACCTTCGTTACCCTCACTTCGGAGCGCTAACTAACGGAGGCTGAGAATAGTATTGAAGATTGGTAATGGAGGAGAACGTTGTCGTTCAAAAATGTTAAAAACGGAACATACCCATCCACATGTGGATCACTTGCCAACCGTGATACAATATGAAATACTTCATCATTTTCGTTAAGCAAACTTCCTGTTAACTAAATTATTAAATATAACACTATTCTCACAATTGTCTGGATTGTTGTGCTTCAGTATCTTCACCCCACAAATATGTTAGTAAATTGTTACTACAATGTTTTGAAACCACCAGTGTTTACACCATTGTAATTACCTTCTACTAACTACATATACAAGTGGCATAATCACAATCTCATGCTCATCACCTTTAGAAGCTTTCCAGCACAAATAAGCAGTTTTCGGTCATGGCAAGCCATCAATTGTTTTACTACATCAGCAACAACTGTCACAAACTTCTGTATTGTTTTACCCTCATTGTCCTAATGAAAGATGCAAAATGGTTGATCTTAAAACAAAAATATATATTCGTATTCACTGAGGAAAAGTAATCATTGTTCGAAAATGTCTATTTTACTATGATATATTCAAGTGACATGTTATTAAGGATTTTAAATTATATGAATTTAAACTAAACAAACTTTATCTTAATTCACAAATTATTCCAAGAGTGATGTATTGCATTCACATTTCACAAACCTTGTAGTTCATTAATAGTTCACCATAAAATATGGCAACATTGCAGGCTTTTTCAGTATTTGTGTTGATCACCTCATTGAATCGTAGATTTTCATCGCGGCATCTGATAAACAAGAAACTTGCACAATGACTGACTGTATTCACAGATGTAAGTCAGTGCCTTGATTTTAAATCCTAGCAGACCAATCCCAGATTATATTTATAAGGCCTCAAACACATAAATGTGTGGTTGGTTTTGTGTTTAAAATATTCTATATGATCTAGAAAAAATTACAATGATTAAAGCCAGTTGGACCTTCCACAACTTATTTCTAAATGGATGACTTACAATGTTGCTTGCCTTGCATTTACATCCCCTCATTACCTTTTCAGGAATACTGTTCTGAAAGTAAACTCTGCTGTCTTAAGGACTAAATTCTTGTCAAGGTAGTTAGCCAATCTTGAGCCAGGATACTGGAAGTTTTGCTCTGATACACACTAGAAGAAAATATATATGTTGGACATATCACCTCAACTAATGATATTTGATATATAACTATATATATGACTATAACATGCAATACATGCCAAGGCTAAATAATTCAGGTTTCTTACCTTTTCAAATAGTATGTCTGACAGTTTAACCATATCATTCTCAACTTTTATATAAAGTGATAAATAGTTTGCCATTGACATTGAAAGTTCATCCAGTAAACCTGGATCCTCTGTGAGTTGTTTAATTTTTTTATTCACAAAGTTTTCTATTGCATGAAGTCTTTCAAATGCTGTTTCTTTATATTCCCTGAAACTTTTACCTGGCACGAACTCAGGAGCATGAACTGCTGAGGCTAAACTGCTATATGAAGGTTGTACTGGACTAAACCTTATGGGTTCTTGAAATGACCTGGGTACAAATACTTGACAATTGACAGCTTTCTCTAAAACATTGTCAAAAATCTGACTTTTTGTTAACGTTAAATCATTAATTTTCCTTTCTAGAACAGCATCTAAAAGAGAAAAAAATCGTAACTGTAACAGTCTGGGAGACTGGGACACCAGCGCAAACAGCCATTTCTGTATTAGCTACTAAAAAAAATTGGTTGGCGATACAAACCTTGTACAGGCTGTTCTGATTTACTTCTGCCAACTTCAACATTAAAATGTTGAACAGGAGGTTTCTCATCGTCTTCAGATTTTATATCTTTGTCAGTTTCACGAAACTCGCCAGGTTTTCTCAAAGGTACTTCTGATGCTCCACGTCCACGGCCTCGACCTCGGCCACGACCTCGTGTTGAATCCATGTTCGACAGCTTTGGAAACTTTTGCAACTACATAAAAATCTTTTGAAAATATCGCAAAATATTACTGTAACGCTCATTTCAGGACGCCATTTTGAAAGACAATGCACCATGCCACTATCCATGATTATCCATTGTTTTGTATCCATAGTTTGCCGTTATTAGCACACTCAATGAACACCCCCAAAAATCTATTAATATTGGTTTTTTTGGGTTTTCAGTTAGTTATCAGCCGGCAGAAAGAATTTTTAGTCTTTTTTAGAGGACTGGCAAGAGCAACCATACGGATAATTTGCATGAAGTGTAAATATGAATAAGGAAATTGATCGACAGAATCGTGAAAGCTTAACTAGATTTAAACACATTATATTACCGTGATAGTGTAGTACCGTGTAGCAGGATTTTTGGAGTGATTTAGTTCTACAGGACTGTATCAAAGGTTGACAATCCTGGAGGATGCAGGGACACGTATAAATTTTTAGGGCGAAATATAGAAATAGGAGTAGAATAAGGCCATTTTCGACGTTCAAGAGCTTGCAAGTTTTAAATCTTTTCCCGTTCGTCACCAACCATGGTGGCACCTCGAGAGCGATATCTCACATTGACAGCCTTCCTGAGGAAATCAGTGAACTATTTTAACTCCTTCTTTACAAGGTCGCATACCAAAAAATTGGTTTTGCAACCAACTATTTGTTATCATCGTTTGTTTATATTAATTGTTCTGTGTGGTCGAGTTTGCATGGTTGTTGGCTACAGATAAAATAATCGAAGATAAAAAGCCCTTACTTTTTGTTTAGAAGACCTTGGAGTTTAGATAAAAAGGGCAAGCTGAAGCCAAAATACTTTCTTTGGGGAGGATAAAAATATGGGAAGGAAAATGACTTTCAGAAACAGGAAGCAATGTATTTTTTTTGACCAGGTCATTCACGACTGTACAGATTAGATACGTTTGTATACTTAGACTAATTAAATATAAGGTGCAAATTTGGTCATAAAAAAATTGAGCTTGATCGTGAGGGTTTGTGAAACTATAGATTGAAATTTATATAATGCTTAATACTATATAAATAAATTTACATAATATCTAAATAAATACAACGGTGTTTATATAGATGCAAGCGTCCTGGAAAAGTCCTGGAACCAACTGTGCATGCGCACTACTCTTCGTGGCAAGTTCGTGCTACACAAATGTCTAAGTTGTGTCGGAGTAGAGCATTCGTCGTTCATAAAAAATCAGGACAAAATTATTCACATCTGAACGTAGTAGTAAAAACATGTAAAAACATGTAACACATCTTCACACTTTCATTTTATAAGTTTTTTTTTTCTGCTTTACCTCGACTCTTATTAATCAGTCTGCAGCTCGGTATTTGAATGCTAAAATTAGGACTCTAAATATATAAATCCGAAGTATGACCTGACAAGGTTAACAGGTACTTTGCAAAATATAAAACATGCAATTATATGACTTTGCAAAATATAAAACATGCAATTATATGACTTTTCAAACTTCAAAACTCTGCAACGTAAAAAAGGGAACATACCATCCCAAACTCATTTAAACAAATGATTTTAATTTAAAAATTAAGAAGCGGCTACATTTTCCCTATATGAAGAAATTCAAGCATCACTTGTGGTATAGCTGGTTTCCACTAGTTTCCTAGCAGCGACACTGTTTGGGCACCAGCCGGTTACTTGGCAACCAAGATGATATTTCAGCAAACATATTTTCAATTATGCTTAACAATTAATTTTACAGGCACTGTCTGAAAGCCGTTCAGGTAAAATGGCTAGCAAACTTGAAAGAAGAAGGACTATGAGTCCGAACAAACTTGATAGACAACGCGCCAAGAGTCCGAGACCAAAATCAAACTATGCTGCTTCTTTACGGATGAAACACACCAACAGTCTAAAAAGTCTTGATGTTTACAAAGCTTCGGCGGTTGTTAGTAAAATGCGAAGTAGAAGTAAAACAAGAAAGAAGACTCCAATTCCTAAAATCAAAGCGGAAAGTCCTCCACCGCCGCCAACACCAACACCACCACCTCGTACACCAACTCCAGAGCCAGAACCTGAGCCTGAGCCTGAGCCTGAGCCAGAGCCCGAAATTGAACCAGAACCAGAACCTGAACCTCCAGTTGATCCTCTTGAACATTTTACAACATGCCAAGTTTGTAAATCACCTTTTGTTGATCCTAAGAGCCTCTCTTGTTTACACACCTTCTGCAAATCATGTTTGTTTTATGACTGGCCAGATTGTGAAGGAAAAAAGACGAGAAGTTGCCCTTCATGTAAGGAAGAATTCGAGGTGACGAACGTCGAGGAAGAGCTTGAACCGACTCCATTTGTGAAGAGGATGATTCAAGTCAAAACTATGGAAGACCTGGCGAAAAACCTAGAGATGAGCGGGGATAAGAACATGGAATTTGCACAAGCAGTGAAAGATATGGAGTGTAACTGTAAAGATAAGGCCGAGAGAAAAGACAGCGACGTAGAAAACCGTTCTGAGGGCTCCCTTACAAGCAAAGACACGGATTCCACGCAACCTGTCAAATGCGACCAGTGTTCAAGTTCCACTGATGTTCAACAATCTTGCACCCAAATGGAAGAACGCCAACCAGGGGTTTGCAGTAAACATGCTGATAATATTCTTGACTATTTCTGTAGTAAGTGCGACCGTTTTATTTGTATCGAGTGTTTGATTACTGAACACCCGCATTTCCAGCATGGCGTTTCCAAGGTAAGCGATGTTGCTCCTAGATACAAGGAAGTACTTGGCATGTTAAGGACCGAAGCGGAATACACAGCACCCGAACTTTCGCGAGCTACAGAAATATACGAAGAAAGAGCTAAAAAAAGTGAAGAAAAACTCGAGACCTTCAAGGAAAAAATAAGAGAAAGAAAGGAAGAAATTATTCGTGAAGTTGGAGTATTACTGGAAGAAGAAGAAAAACGACTCGTGGATCATGTCACATCTGTTGTGATGACGGAGAAAGGAGACTTTCAAGAACAAGTCAAACGTTTGGAAGACGATGTTGATGTTTTGAAAGGGTATTGCTATCTAACTGATAACCTGATTACTCATGGAAACTGTTTTGAAGTCATGGAAACCAAAACAGCTTTGATTAAAAGAATGCATCGAATTTGCGTAAAAGGAAAAGACCCGTTCATTCAACCCGGCGTCGAGAGTAAAGAAGAGATTACCATGAGTTACGAACGCGGAAATTCGCCAATACTTGGTAAAGAGAATTCCCTGGGATTCTTACGTGCAACTGAAGCATTTGCTCCTAAATCTACAGCCGCCGGTCATGGTTTGGCAGAGGTCATGTGTGGCCACAAGGGAATATTTGGAATTACAACGAAAAATCGACAAGGAAATGACCTAGAAAGTGGCGGAGCAATGATTGATTTAAAGATTATTTCTTCAACAATGGAAAAAATAGATTGGGAAATCGAAGACCACGATGATGGGACATACACAGTCTCCTATACTACCAATATCCTTGGTCCTCATATTATATCCGTACGTATCGCAGGTATCCCCATCCAAGGCAGTCCATTTACAGTCAATGCAACGATCAGTGAAAATTACAACCTAAGAGATGAACCTCTCTTTATTTTACCACCAGAGAAATCAGGATTGTCTGATCCAGCTGCTATAGCTACTGATTCTTCCAATCAAATTTATGTCGTTGACCGTGGAAACAACAGAGTCGTGGTTTACTCCGAAAAAGGTGAACAAGTCTTGAACATCAGCAAGAATGAAGAAGATGAGGATATTTTCAAGTCGCCGCAGAGTATTTCAATCACGAAAACTAATAAGATCGTAGTGTCTGATACTGGAAACAATCAGATTCAAGTTTTTGATAAAGATGGTAAATTTCTTCTTAAGTTTGGTCAAGCCGGAGAAGGCGAAGGGGATCTCAAAGAACCGGATGGTGTCATTGTCGATGCGAAGGGAAATATTGTTGTAGCGGATACTATGAATCACAGGATTCAAATATTCCGTGAGAACGGCGAGTTTATGTCAACCTTTGGCAAGCAAGGCACCAAGGAGGGAGAATTGTCGTATCCATCTGGAGTGAGTTTAGATAAATCTGGAAACATTTTGGTTTGCGATTGCGGGCTCTGGAATGAAGCAAGTAAAGAAAGCAATAACCGTATTCAGGTTTTTAATCCTGACGGGAAATACCAATATGAATTTGGTTGTACTGGCGAGGACACTGGGCAGTTTAAGAAACCAGCAAGGGTTGCGGTTGACAAGAAGGGGAGATTGCTAGTTACAGACATGGACAATAATCGTATACAGGTATTCAAAAACAATGGATCATTCCTCAATACTATCGTTCGAAGAGGGAAGAGCGACTGTTTTGATGCCCCTTGTGGTATTGCGGTCATGCAGGACGGTAGAATTGCTATTACAGAAAGAAACTCGAATCAAATTCAAATATTTTGATTCAAAAATACGAATGCAGTGGGTGATTATCAACGCCTGCATAAATTGACTGTTAAAATATACCAATGCGAGATAAACGTTCTAAGTAGAATGTTACCACTTCGTGTTTTATTCGATGAGAAACAAAAAAGGCTCTGAACTTAAATTATTGTAACTTCTTAGATATATGCAAAGTGGGGTAGATTTTAAATGATGATGATATATGAATATTACTAAAAGCTTATAAGGATGTGCAAAGCCAGCTGAAAGATTAATGCAATTTTACTTTGGACAGGTTTTATAACAATATTAATATATTACTAAAAGCTTCTAAAGATGTGCAAAATCAGTTTGATTGTTTGAATAGATTGATGCAATTTCACTTTGACCACGTTTTATAAAGATGGTCATATTTTAAAACCAAAATTCCCATTTGAATAGATTGATGCAATTTCACTTTGACCACGTTTTATAAAGATGGTCATATTAACCAAAATTCCCATTACCCATAGGAAAATTTTTTATGCCATTGCCTTAAGCATGTTATGTCAATTTCAATAAATCTTTGTGCATGTTTCAGACCACCAGGATCATTTGACGAACCCTTAAAAATTGCATGGCAATTTTTAAAGATTGGTCAGATGAAAAACATTGATAATGTATAATGTAACACCGTGAAAAATAGTCCACATGGTTGCCAGATTATCTCTGAAAATTGATAAAATACAAGTACAAAAATAACTGGCAAACCTGCCCCAATTAATTATTGCGGAATTTCCAACTAAAAATACCAAAATGTCGGACCAGACCAGTAACCTGAGATCCGGATTTCATGTTGTGGTCAGGAGGGTTTTTCTCCAGGCACTCCGGTTTCCCTCCATTTCATGTTTGGCAAAAAACAGTGTCCATGTCCGGGGCCAAACAAAGATCTATAGTGAATTCTATTTTTTGGTGTCAGGTCGTTTCGTACTCTTGTCATTTCGTACCCATATCCCTGGTCGTTTCGTACTCTAATTGATGGTCGTTTCGTACCCCGATTTTAGTCGTTTCGTACTCAAACGCTGTATGACTGCTTTTATTGCAATCAGTTCAGTTTTCATTAAAAGCGTTGATAAAAACCACTTTCTTTGTTGACTTGAAACTCTGTATTGCAACATTTAAGTTTTTCGTTCGGCAGTTCAAATTTATCGTTTTGAAAATGGTCCGAAAGTCTACACGCACACTTAAGCGCAAATGGCCATGTGGTACTTGCAGTCTGCAATGCAATGACAATTCGATCTTTTGCGAAGGATGCCGAATGCATGTGGTACCATTCTTGTTGTGAGAACCTGTCTCCGAGAGATTTAAAAATTTTACAAGACCTAACCGAAGATTATCTGTGTTCGTCTTGTACGCGTGTTGGACTGTTGGCGATGTCTTGATTTCCAAACGCGCTCCAAAGTGCGACACGTGGGGAGGCTAGAAACGGTGCTGCTAAAGTTGAATGTATTTTGGTCGTCGTGGAATACCGTTCTACAGGCTAATTGAGCTATTTCATAAGGAAACCTTGCTTGTAGAACTTAACATTCAGTTAGTTTCTGAAGGAAAAGTGAGGCGGATCCTTTAATGTAACCCGGTGTACAAAGATCTTTGTGTCAATAGTTAGTGTTCAGTTGTATAAGTAAAAAATAAACGGACAGATCACGGATATATTTTTCGGCAGTTGAAATGAGCTTAAATAAAATATATTCGTCTTCTTGTTTTTGCAAAGCTAGCTCATTAAGTCCCTCATGTGTAAAGTTCGAAACGACCTTGTCTGGGTACGAAACGACCATGTCTGGGTACGAAACGACCATGTCTGGGTACGAAACGACCATGTCTGGGTACGAAACGACCAGGCCTGGGTACGAAACGGCAGAAGTACGAAATGACAAGAGTACGAAACGACCATAAACCCTTTTTTTTCATTAAACAGTGCTGTTATGTTTGGCCTCTGGGTTAAAATCCCAGAACACTGCCTTATTGTGTTAAAATGCAGGGGCAACTGCTCTCTGTTAAGATTATTGTATCATTGTTAAACACTTACAGTGATTCATTTATTGAAAGGTTTCCACTAAAATATGGCTAATTTCGTTTTCATTTTTGTAATTTGCAACATTTGATCATATAATGCAATCAGATCCTGAGAGTCTAAAAGCTCTTGTATCGAAAGTTTCAAGGTGGATTGTTGTCAATTGCTGGAAGAAAGTGATATGGTGCGTCTCAGTCCAGAAATGTGACAATGCTCTATGCTTGACTTAGCAGAGAGATCTTGGATATTGTTAACGTCAAAAAGCTGGTTCTAACTCTCATGTCTTCAGCAGTGGCAAACAAGATCAAGGTCAGAGCAAAAGCTTGGGCCACGATTCAGAAGACCGTCAAAATGTTCCTCGCGTGGAAATAACACCAGCCAAGGTATATCAGGAGTTTACAAAATTCTACCAAGGGCAATAAAACTATTCCACCAAAATCTCTTATAAGGCCAACTATTTCAAATATTCATAATTAGTTAATGAACACCAAAAATTTTTGGACCATGTGTTTTGTTTTTCACAGATATAAAGGAATTATTATGATTAAACTGGACCTCTAGGAAGAACAATTTAGAACTGATAGAGCTAAGTTAGTTCAGTTTAGGTTTCCTCCTGTAGTAACACTGGATCAATAAGAGATATGATCCTTACTGGACCCCTATGAAGAACAGTTTAGAACTGATAGAGCTATCCAGTATAAATAAAGTTAGTTTAGTTTAGGTTTCCTCCTGTATTAACACTGGATTGATCAATAAGAGATGATCCTTACCGGACCTCTAGGAAGAACTGTTTAGAACTGATAGAACTATATCCAGTATAAGTTAGTATAGGTTTCTTCCTGTAGTAACGGTTGGGGGTAATTCTACAACACCTCCACTGACGGTTTCCTCATTGTTTCAATGTAGTTTCAGGTTTAAAATCCGACAAGAATGTTCTGACTAAACAGATTTCTGATATCGATCGAAAAGGAAATATCAGCTACTATACAGAAAATCAAGGTTAGTAGACGTGTTGAAATGCTGCCTCAGGAACTTATCAAGGAGTGTTGTTGAAGGCCCATCTGTTATATATCATTGTCAATCTAATCATCTCTTGGTGCTGCATTTTAGAACATGATAATGAGCCGTGATCAGATCGAGAATCTCCACCGTGGTCTTGTGGCGAAGGTGGACAAACAAGTCGTAGATTTACAGAAGCAAAAAGAACTTCAGAAGCAGAGGGAGGAAGAAGAGAAGAAAGTCAAAAATCAAAGTCAAAAATCAAAGAACAGATGGAACTGGAAAGAAAAAGGTGAGAAGAGGAAGAAAGGAGAAAAAAACAACTTGAAGAAGAAGCAAGAATGTAACCAGAAGAACTTCAAATCACGAACTGGCCTTGCGTTTGGCAAAGGTATTATATCTCAATATTTTTTCAGTCACTTCCATTAGTCGGGGCTTATTTCGCTACTTCCTTATGCTTTGACTTTCAACTTCCGATTTTTTGTGGGCGTGATCAGACACGCCATCTTAATCTAATTATGACGTCACTTCCTTTCTGCAGGGCTTTTTTCCTTACTTCCTTACGCTTTGACTTTTCAATTCCAGTTTTTCAATGGGCGTGGTCGGAGACGCCCACAAAATGTAATTATGACGTCACTTCCGGTCCGCGGGGCTTTTTTCGCTACTTCCTTATTCACTTTTTTTCTCCAGATTCAAATTGGGATTCACTTTTTTCTTGAGATTCACTTTTTTTTTTATATTCATTTTCGGTTTCATTTTTTTCTCCAGATTCATTTTCAGATTCGAATTTTTTCTCCAGATTCATTTTGGATTCAGTTTTTTTCTCCACATTCAGATTCGGAAAAAATTTTTTCCCGAGATTCATTCTTGGAAGGATTTGCTTTTTTCTTGAGATTTTTCTCCAGATTCAAATTGGGATTCACTTTTTTCTCGAGATTCATTCTCAATTTCACTTTTTTCTCCAGATTCATTTTCAAATTCGAAATTTTTCTTGAGATTCATTTTGGATTCAGTTATTTTCTCCACATTCAGATTTAGAATCACTTTTTTCTCGAGATTCATTCTTGGAAGGACTTACTTTTTTCTCGAGATTCATTTTTGGATTCACTTTTTTCTCGAGATTCATTTTTGGATTCACTTTTTTCTCAAGATTCAAATTGGGATTGGAAATTTTTCTCGAGATTCATTTTTGGATTCACTTTTTTCTCAAGATTCAAATTGGGATTGGAAATTTTTCTCGAGATTCATTTTGGATTCAGTTATTTTCTCCAAATTCAGATTCGGAATTACTTTTTTATCAAGATTCATTCTCAAAAGGATTCACTTTTTTCTCGAGATTTATTTGGATTCACTTTTTTTCTCCACATTTAGATTCGGAATAATTTATTTCACGAGATTCATTCTTGGAGGGATTCACTTTTTTCTCGAGATTCCTTTTTGTTTTTACTTTTTTTCTTCAGATTCAAATTGGGATTCACTTTTTTCTCAAGATTCATTTTGGATTCAGTTTTTTTCTCCACATTCAGATTCGGAATCACTTTTTTCTCGAGATTCATTCTCGGAAGGTTTAGAAGGTTTAGATTCGGAATTACTTTTTTATCGAGATTCATTCGGAATTACTTTTTTATCGAGATTCATCCAATTTGAATCTGAAGAAAAAAAGTGAATACAAAAATGAATCTCGAGAAAAAAATGAATCCTTCCAAGAATGAATCTAAGTGAATCCAAGAATGAATCTGGAGAAAAAAGTGAATCCTTCCGAGCATGAATCTCGATAAAAAAGTAATTCCGAATCTAAATGTGGAGAAAAAAAACTGAATCCAAAATGAATCTCGAGAAAAAAGTGAATCCTTCCGAGAATGAATCTCGAGAAAAAAGTGATTCCGAATCTGAATGTGGAGAAAATAACTGAATCCAAAATGAATCTCGAGAAAAATTTCCAATCCCAATTTGAATCTGGAGAAAAAAGTGAATCCAAAAATGAATCTCGAGAAAAAAGTGAATCCTTTTGAGAATGAATCTCGAGAAAAAAGTGATTCTGAATCTGAATATGGAGAAAAAATCTGAATCCAAAATGAATCTTGAGAAAAAAGTGAATCCCAATTTGAATCTGAAGAAAAAAAGTAAATACAAAAATGAATCTCGAGAAAAAAGTGAATCCTTCCGAGAATGAATCTCGAGAAAAAAGTGATTCCGAATCTGAATGTGGAGAAATTAACTGAATCCAAAATGAATCTCGAGAAAAATTTCCAATCCCAATTTGAATCTTGAGAAAAAAGTGAATCCA